CCGCGGACGCGCGCACTCTCATCAGAACAGCGGACGCGCGCACTCTCATCAGTCCCGCGGACGCGCGCACTCTCATCAGAACAGCGGACGCGCGCACTCTCATCAGTCCCGCGGACGCGCGCACTCTCATCAGAACAGCGGACGCGCGCACTCTCATCAGTCCCGCGGACGCGCGCACTCTCATCAGAACAGCGGACGCGCGCACTCTCATCAGTCCCGCGGACGCGCGCACTCTCATCAGAACAGCGGACGCGCGCACTCTCATCAGTCCCGCGGACGCGCGCACTCTCATCAGAACAGCGGACGCGCGCACTCTCATCAGTCCCGCGGACGCGCGCACTCTCATCAGAACAGCGGACGCGCGCACTCTCATCAGTCCCGCGGACGCGCGCACTCTCATCAGAACAGCGGACGCGCGCACTCTCATCAGTCCCGCGGACGCGCGCACTCTCATCAGAACAGCGGACGCGCGCACTCTCATCAGTCCCGCGGACGCGCGCACTCTCATCAGAACAGCGGACGCGCGCACTCTCATCAGTCCCGCGGACGCGCGCACTCTCATCAGAACAGCGGACGCGCGCACTCTCATCAGTCCCGCGGACGCGCGCACTCTCATCAGAACAGCGGACGCGCGCACTCTCATCAGTCCCGCGGACGCGCGCACTCTCATCAGAACAGCGGACGCGCGCACTCTCATCAGTCCCGCGGACGCGCGCACTCTCATCAGAACAGCGGACGCGCGCACTCTCATCAGTCCCGCGGACGCGCGCACTCTCATCAGAACAGCGGACGCGCGCACTCTCATCAGTCCCGCGGACGCGCGCACTCTCATCAGAACAGCGGACGCGCGCACTCTCATCAGTCCCGCGGACGCGCGCACTCTCATCAGAACAGCGGACGCGCGCACTCTCATCAGTCCCGCGGACGCGCGCACTCTCATCAGAACAGCGGACGCGCGCACTCTCATCAGTCCCGCGGACGCGCGCACTCTCATCAGAACAGCGGACGCGCGCACTCTCATCAGTCCCGCGGACGCGCGCACTCTCATCAGAACAGCGGACGCGCGCACTCTCATCAGTCCCGCGGACGCGCGCACTCTCATCAGAACAGCGGACGCGCGCACTCTCATCAGTCCCGCGGACGCGCGCACTCTCATCAGAACAGCGGACGCGCGCACTCTCATCAGTCCCGCGGACGCGCGCACTCTCATCAGAACAGCGGACGCGCGCACTCTCATCAGTCCCGCGGACGCGCGCACTCTCATCAGAACAGCGGACGCGCGCACTCTCATCAGTCCCGCGGACGCGCGCACTCTCATCAGAACAGCGGACGCGCGCACTCTCATCAGTCCCGCGGACGCGCGCACTCTCATCAGAACAGCGGACGCGCGCACTCTCATCAGTCCCGCGGACGCGCGCACTCTCATCAGAACAGCGGACGCGCGCACTCTCATCAGTCCCGCGGACGCGCGCACTCTCATCAGAACAGCGGACGCGCGCACTCTCATCAGTCCCGCGGACGCGCGCACTCTCATCAGAACAGCGGACGCGCGCACTCTCATCAGTCCCGCGGACGCGCGCACTCTCATCAGAACAGCGGACGCGCGCACTCTCATCAGTCCCGCGGACGCGCGCACTCTCATCAGAACAGCGGACGCGCGCACTCTCATCAGTCCCGCGGACGCGCGCACTCTCATCAGAACAGCGGACGCGCGCACTCTCATCAGTCCCGCGGACGCGCGCACTCTCATCAGAACAGCGGACGCGCGCACTCTCATCAGTCCCGCGGACGCGCGCACTCTCATCAGAACAGCGGACGCGCGCACTCTCATCAGTCCCGCGGACGCGCGCACTCTCATCAGAACAGCGGACGCGCGCACTCTCATCAGTCCCGCGGACGCGCGCACTCTCATCAGAACAGCGGACGCGCGCACTCTCATCAGTCCCGCGGACGCGCGCACTCTCATCAGAACAGCGGACGCGCGCACTCTCATCAGTCCCGCGGACGCGCGCACTCTCATCAGAACAGCGGACGCGCGCACTCTCATCAGTCCCGCGGACGCGCGCACTCTCATCAGAACAGCGGACGCGCGCACTCTCATCAGTCCCGCGGACGCGCGCACTCTCATCAGAACAGCGGACGCGCGCACTCTCATCAGTCCCGCGGACGCGCGCACTCTCATCAGAACAGCGGACGCGCGCACTCTCATCAGTCCCGCGGACGCGCGCACTCTCATCAGAACAGCGGACGCGCGCACTCTCATCAGTCCCGCGGACGCGCGCACTCTCATCAGAACAGCGGACGCGCGCACTCTCATCAGTCCCGCGGACGCGCGCACTCTCATCAGAACAGCGGACGCGCGCACTCTCATCAGTCCCGCGGACGCGCGCACTCTCATCAGAACAGCGGACGCGCGCACTCTCATCAGTCCCGCGGACGCGCGCACTCTCATCAGAACAGCGGACGCGCGCACTCTCATCAGTCCCGCGGACGCGCGCACTCTCATCAGAACAGCGGACGCGCGCACTCTCATCAGTCCCGCGGACGCGCGCACTCTCATCAGAACAGCGGACGCGCGCACTCTCATCAGTCCCGCGGACGCGCGCACTCTCATCAGAACAGCGGACGCGCGCACTCTCATCAGTCCCGCGGACGCGCGCACTCTCATCAGAACAGCGGACGCGCGCACTCTCATCAGTCCCGCGGACGCGCGCACTCTCATCAGAACAGCGGACGCGCGCACTCTCATCAGTCCCGCGGACGCGCGCACTCTCATCAGAACAGCGGACGCGCGCACTCTCATCAGTCCCGCGGACGCGCGCACTCTCATCAGAACAGCGGACGCGCGCACTCTCATCAGTCCCGCGGACGCGCGCACTCTCATCAGAACAGCGGACGCGCGCACTCTCATCAGTCCCGCGGACGCGCGCACTCTCATCAGAACAGCGGACGCGCGCACTCTCATCAGTCCCGCGGACGCGCGCACTCATTACTGAGCCAATTATATTTTCTATCCTCTAAAGCAGTACCTTTTTTTTAGTCGCGGCACCCTTTGGAAATTTTAACAAACTTGTGGCACCCTACAAAATTAATTTTGTCACAATATTTGAATTTCTAACTTCGATATGATAATTTGAAAAGTATAGATATTCGGTACAACATAGTCCTAGAAAGCTATTGTTATCAGAACACGTGAGCATAACATAAGTGAGCGACATCAGAATTGGATATTATATAATAGATGCTTTTTTGAACATTTTAGCAATTTAAAAAGATTAAAAAATGATTTTTTACACGGCAGCCCGGTTGGGAAACACTGCTCTAAAGTACTAATCATCACGCAAACATTTACATATTATATTATATTATGATATGATATTAATGGTGTAATATTATATCATTGAAATATCACTTGTGATTATCTACGAATTAAAAAACGTTGTTGTATGTTTTTGTTTTTTACTTGGTTACATATATTATAATTAATAATGATAATGATGCCTGAGGATCAAACTGAACCTAATTTTTATACAAAATCACACAATGAAAAATAGTAGGCTAAATATTAACTATTGCAAATGGATTAAAACAGCAATATAGGCCTAACAAAATTATGACTTTACAAAAACACGACAAAATTCAAACAATAACTATGAGAACATAACAAATAAATAAAACTTGATTTAACAAATATTTTTTAACATTTTCTAACTTTATTTAAAATTTTCATTTTCACAAACTTAAAATGTTATTTTATGTTTATGCATTGGAAATGGATCTTTACTATCCCTGATTAGGCATATTATTTAGCATTTTAGGGTCATTTTGACCACATAGTATGTGCTTTCTACAGATGTAATTGTGCAAATGTAATTGTTTAGTTTATATATATATATGTGTGTGTGTGTTTCATTATTACTGTAAATTATTTAATTAGAATTGTAATTATTTAATTAGATCGTCGTTTCTACTATAATAGCACAGAAACATGAGTAACTGCAAAAATATGTAATAAAAAACACGAATTCGTATATTATTATTATAAATGATCAATCCAGGTTACTTGTCTTCCTTTAAGTTCTCTCTCATTCAACTATTTTTGCGTCTATTTGATTGATTGCTGTAGCAGGAAACTCTTACTATCATTCATCACAATTTCATTAGTACATTATTTAGCATGTTTATTAGCTGTTTTTCTCGTGGGAACAATTGGCTGCTCACTGATTGTTTTAATATTGAGCCAGTGAAATTCTATCATCTACACAGACATTTCTGCATATTATATTAGTATACGTTTAGTTAATGTTTAATGTAGTAATGTTTAGTTAATTATCTTGTCCTTTATGCTACATATAGTATATAGTACATTATCATTAATGCATTACATAACGTGTTTATTAGGCGTTTGCTCCTCAATGTAGAGCAGTGTGTTTACTATAAGAGGACCTTTGGTGGTTGGTGACTGTAGATGAACTGATGTTCAGTCTATTTATCCCTTCTGACGTTCGTGAATACGTATGTAAATGAGGGTCACGTTTTACACATCTGTTAGTGTCCTTATATGAGTGGATGTTTGTCACGCTGAAGCTATTGAGTGTGTTGCCTTGGCAACAGCATCTTAGCAGAGGTTGTGCTTCTGTGTCTGTTGTCATGGCGACGGACCGCTGCATCATCAGAGATGCAGAGCGGTGGACGATGGCTTCTAAAACCACATTTTCAGATGCTCTGTAAAGACTCTTGAAACAGCTGACCTTTGACCCCAAGCGTCAAGAGTTTGTGGTGGTTTTAGAGCAGCTGCGTGTCATGAATAAGCTGTACGTGTGATATAATCAGCTAAACCGGTCGTGGGTGCCATGATTGTGTGTGGCATCATGAGCCGTCAATCATACGGTCTGGTCACACGGAACTATATGAAGATGTCTGTGAGCAGAAGCAAAGCATTGTGGGTACAGATGTGGTGTGAAGGAAGGTGAAGCTGTGAGAAATAAGAAACACAATGGTTTTATCAGAACTCAGCGGTTCTTTTACTCATTTAGAGAAACACACATTAATGTCTATAAATAGTGCAAGCGCTTTCATTCACACTGAAGGTCGTTCAGTAACGTTCACCCACACACACACGAGCAGGAGCGTTTCCGAACCGCACACATGCTTACGGATCTAATGATGGATGTACTTCACTTTCATGACGAGAACAGAAATAAAATCACTTATTTGGGCTTAAGAGCAACTCTAGTTTAATGTTCACATTCAGAGAACTAACGCAGGATTAAAATAATGGCGTGACGTAAAGTTTAAGATGCGCTTTCATTCACACTGAAGGTCGTTCAGTAACGTTCACCCACACACACACACGAGCAGGAGCGTTTCCGAACCGCACACATGCTTACGGATCTAATGATGGATGTACTTCACTTTCATGACGAGAACAGAAATAAAATCACTTATTTGGGCTTAAGAGCAACTCTAGTTTAATGTTCACATTCAGAGAACTAACGCAGGATTAAAATAATGGCGTGACGTAAAGTTTAAGACGTGTATTTACATTCTATTCATATGTACAACTAACAGTTTGTGATTTGTGCTGTGATGATCCGAGAGAGGCGAGCGCGTCACATCCGATCCACGTCCACCGTCAGTGTCCCGAACCTGAAACACAAACGCCACTGTCATTACAGCTCCGTTACTGATGGATTCTGCATCATTAATACGAGGGCTGTCGCAATATCAGACTTTCACTACACGATTATCACGGCCAAAAGAATTTACGATAACAGTATACTGCGATATCTACAGAAATCGTGAAAAAAAAAAAAAATGCTATCAGCCAATTTCAACTTTATTTTGACTTAAAAACTGCATACAAAAGGAACATTATAAAACGGGGAGTTCCGGTGCTTGATTCTGATTGGCTGAGCCACGTTCGAAGCTGTTGTAAATGACTCTACAAAGTAACATACACCTTTGTTTACGTTTGTGTGTTGCTCGGCAACCACTTTGTTGCAACCACAACTGTTTCTGAGGAACTACATTGTTTGGTGGAAGAATACTGTTTTTATTAATATCATTACACTTTATTTGCTCCGTTTTATTCTGTGAAACCTTACTACGTATATGTGAATAACCGTTTTATAAAAGCATTAAGCCTCGTGAAGCCGTGGTTTACAGTGAATTTATAACAGCTAAGGGGGTTTTAGGCACTCCGCGAACAACGCCCCTTAGCTGTTATAAATTCACTGTAAACCATGGCTTCTTGGGGCTTATTGCTTTATTTTTTTCGTGTGTGATTTTTACGATCAAAATGACATCACGTGCGCAGCATCTGTATCCTTATGCATTACAACTTTCATAAGGATAATTCAGTTAGATAATTATAATTCAGTTTTTTGTGAGACCTTCATTTTTGCGGTGAAATTGGGCTTTTTGTTTATTTTGCGTTGGATTCAGCGATCGTGGAATTGCGGAAACCTGGATGGACTTATTGGCCTGTTTAGACAAGGTCTCCATAAAACAAACATAAAAGAACGCATTATACAGACACTTCATATTTAATGTTATTTGATGATTTGTTAATTGCACTTAATACTTTCAGGGTCTTGAAAGCTGTTTTTTATGCATGGGTCAAAGACGAAAAAGGGTTTAAGCATAAAAACAATAAGGGTAATACTGCTTTAAATTGTTGTTATCCCCCCCCCCCAAAATTAATGCAATTGCAATTTTGTTTTTGTTTTTCTGAGCAAAAAATAAACATCATACATTTTTCCCTGATTTACAGAAGAGACGCACTAAAATGTCATTCAGTGTAACAATCCTGTCACGCATATTTACAACAAAAATCAATTTATGACTAATTACTTTCACCCCAAATACTAATTAGTTGTAATTTTACATTTTTTAAATGTGCCAC